GGAGGAAAAAGAAGAGAGCAAGTCTCACCTTCCTCTTCTGTGCCACACCTTGGTGACTTAAAGACTTCCCGGTAGGTTCCAACTCTTAAAGGTTCCACTCCCTCACAATGACACCATCTTGGGGACCAAGCCTTAAACTCATGGCTCTTTGGGGGACAATTAAGAGCCAAACGATGGTATGGTGTGAGCTTGACTGTATGTGTATGTGTTTCAATCATTTGTAGAAAGGTTTAAAAAGGCCTAACAACAGAATTCTGACAGAAAGTTTTCTCTATTTTTCAGCAAACTGAATCTTCATCATTACCCTGGCAAATGCTGAATAAAATGGTCGATAGTATTTGGGTTTTAAAAACAATAAGGTCACAAACACTGACTTAAGCTGGCTTAAATGAACTTTTAACATGAATCAAGTCTCCACACTCCATGCCTGAATAGAGTCACAAACTGGACACGGGCTCCCTAAAGGCAATAACCAAATCTTGATGACAGTTGTATTCTCCCTGCTTACCATACAGCAGATGGTCAACGAAAATTAGTTGAAATACAGTGAAATTATTTTCTTTTCATTTGAAGAAGTGGTATGAGCTAGGGAGGCAGAACTGTGCTGGTCAGAATTTGCCTCCATTAACTGAACTTGGGCTTTTTTTGTGTTTCAATGTCCTTAGTGATTTCTAAAATAGGAAATTATCTTCACTACTGAAGGGTTATATTAAGTGTATTAACTGTTTTAAGAATTATTTTTGGAGCTCACATACTCAATAAATTTTAGTTGTCTTCTCTTTTTTATTAATATTGGTATTTTTGTTAAAGAGAAGATATTAGAAATACTGCAGCATTTTAAAATTTAGCGGTATCTGTCTTTTGATGGTGATATTTTCTACATGTTAAAATTCAGTAAGGAATAGAATAAGCTCTGAATAGGGATAGAAAAATGGGAATGAACTTAGGAAAAACCATCAAATGTTAGTCCTTCAAGTAATTATCAGAAAAATTTGCCCATTTCAAAAGGGTTTTTTAATTATATAGAAAAAAAATAATGAAAATTAGCTAAACAAGTAGGATGTTTTGGTGGAATTTCACTTAAAGTAAAAACCAAAACTATCTCTATAATATCTGAGTCGATCATGTACAAATTTAAAGGGTCTTAGGAAGCCTGATAGCTCAGAAGAGCTACCTATGCTCATATTCTAAAAATATCAAAGCAGGAATGTCTCCATTCAAATCCTGAAATCCAATGTTATAGAATACACATCAATTAATACAACTTCAAATGGTTACACCTTGATGAAAAATAAAAACAGAAAGCAAATAACATAACACTAGGACCCCTGAATAACCCAGCAGTATCTGTGGTAATGCTAAAATTCTTTATTCTTCTGTACCATACCAGAATCACTTTTTGATGAAATTTAAATTTCTAATATTTGTTTTAATCATTTGTTTAGGATTAAGAATACAGGTTCCAAGATTAAAAGAAAAACATTTCAAAAGGTCATTGATTTTCTTCAAGCAGCTCCTAAATGCATATTTCCACACTCAGTGTTACAGACACTAATACATATTATGTCTAATATATATTGATTGATTGTGGTACTGGAGCTCGAACCCAAGGCTTCACACTGAACTATATCCCCAGCCCTTTTCAACTTTTATTTTTGAGACAGGGTCTTGCTAAGTCATGAACTTGACCAGTCTGGACTTGAACTTGTCATCCTCTTGCTTCAGCCTCCCAGAGTGCTGAGATAGGAGGCACAAATTCAAACTTAACAGTGCTTTTTCTAGTGCTTGACTCTAGAGGAAGTTGAGAAATCTTTTGAAGTTGTTTTGGAGAGGTAAAAGAGAATTTAGGGAGCAGTGCAATCATAAAAGTAGGCCAGTGATTGCACTCTGAGTGTAGACAATAAGAGAATGCATTTTAAAGAGAATTGAGAAAACAATAATTAAATGGACTAAAGGACCTAGGCAGTATGATTTCCACTGGCACCATAAGTTGGAGCTCTAAATAATAGTGAGGAAGGTTTATTCCCTAAACATATTGTTAGTCTGTATTTTAAAAAGTTGATGTGGTTACTAATGAGATTTAAAATATATTAAGTTAATACATTGTTTTTATTTATCCTACAACAGACAGCACATCAGCTCTAGCCACAAAGTTCTAAGTTTTTGTTTCATTAGTAAATTTGTAATAATTCCAAGGACTGAAGTCACTAAAAGCAGTAGTACTACATCATTTAAAAGATGTAAATTCTATCTGAGGATTTAGCTTAGTGGTTCCGCTGCCTGCCTCGCAAGCACAAGTTTCTGAGTTCAATCCCTGGTACTAAAAAAAAAAAGTAAATTCTAGAGTGTAATTAAAAGACAATAACATAGTGATTATAAAGGTGAAGAAATTAATAGAGTTAATTCAATTCTGTCGTTTTTCTCTGACCAATTGAGGTTTCTATGTTTAAAGCAGTGAAGCAGTTTGAACTGTGAAGTTAAAAGCTTTGTCTGGGAAGCTCCAGCTGCCCACATTGGTAACTATTTAAATGATGCATCTCGAGTTGGCTGCCTTCCTTTCCTTCTTTCTTTTTTTCCCACTCTCCTAACCTGTGTCCTTCACATCTCTAAAAAACACTACTAACATTTAAATGGTTATCTCAGAATCTACCTGTGTGGGAATCCAAATCAATATCAAATCATAATATCATAATACTCCTATGCTGAATCCTATACTACTGCTCCTGTTATTGGCAGAAAAGTGGGCACATATAGAGTCCCACTGTTTTACACTCAGCTCATGGACTTACATGCAGTAGAGGAAGATGGTGGGCAAACTGCAGCTGTTTGGAAACAATGAGGATTGCATTCACAAATATCCCCTTCTGGAGAAAGCCCCAAACACAATGTGCCTCTCAGCAGTGCTGCAGTTACAAATTACAGAGTAGGGTCCGGATATCAAGGTTAGAGGATGAAGGGGGTCAAAGATGACTGACTTATGTATTTGTTCTTCTTTTTCTGCCACCTCTAGGGCTGACATAGCTTGCTAGTTCAAGTCTAGGCAAGATCTAAAATGAGCACTAGGCTAGGGTGGGTGCTTCTGAAACAAAAATGGATCTCTGATTCAGGAAAGGAAACAGAGATAAGAAAACCCAAGAAGCTTCCTGGAAAGTAGGGAAGTGGCTGTTGTCTTTAGAATAGGCTGAAGGTTCACAGGGAATATTCCTATAAAGGGGCTCTAGTAAGGGCTGCACTCTGTTCACTTCCAGAAACGGCCAAATGAGCTTGCTATAATCATTCTCAGTTCTGTCTGTGGAACACAATGAAAGCACTTTTCATTTCTTTCCCAAAATCTATAGCTTCCAAGGCTGGATATAAGCTGACAGAATTCTTGGGTATAGGATAAAATCCATGGATAAATAGCTTTTTAAAGTTTCATGTGTAATTTTGACGAAGAAGAGGTAAGGACTATAGAATTCGAATATGAAAACTGTTGATTTGATATGGTATATCAACTCCTTAATTTCTTCTTAATATGATGTTTATCATAATAATTCAATAAGACTCCAAAATCCTTACAAATAGATTCCAACCTCCAAGGGCACTGTAATCTGTGAGCATTAATATCCTCCCCAAAATTAATGTATTCTCTGTCACTCTGTGGAGCGATCAAGAATTCTTGAGAAATAAATTGTACTTCCAATGATATTTACACTCTGCTAAGTATAAAGCATCCAGGAAAAATGGTATTTTCATGAGGAAACACATGGCACATCTACATGGTATAGTTCTGACTTGGGGCCAGATGCTTTTCAGTGTTTCTCAGCTCCTGAACTCATGAACTTTCCCTGACTGAAGCTAAATGTATGCAGGAGGAAGATAATCATCTGCAATTATGCCTTAGAGTCTTAAAGCCAACACTTGACTGTGCACTGTTACCAGTGCAGCACAATGATTGGTCAGTGACTCACCATACAGCTGCAGTGTTAACTTAGGGCATGATTCACAAATGAGTCTTCTCCCATTATAGCTGATGACAGAATCCTGGCAGTGGACCTAGTCTTCTAGAGAAAAGCTGATCTTGGCAATCAATCCAAGTTTTAAGAAAAGCTGGTATTTGAGTTTGTTCAAAGCCCCCCGCACTCCCAACACACACTAGCCGGATGGAACTATGATACAGTATGCTGGGTGAGCATTTGTTCAGTCTTATGAGTTTTCCAGTATTTTCTTTTCTGCTTTTAAGGTTACTGTTTAAGTAAGAGTAAAATGTGCTTGAATCATGGTTCTGTCTGGTCATTTGCTCTTCCTTCTCTGAGCTTCAGTCAAATGAAAAAAACAATATATTTAAGTTATGAGAAGATTAAATCAAGTATTAGATGTAGAGATTGTACCTTGATGGCTGTGCATAATAAATGCTTTCTTCCTTTTTAAACATTTTTTAGTAGTGCTGGGAACCAAACCCAGGGCTTCATGTATCCAAGGCAAACACTCTACCATTGAGCTATATCTCATCTCAAATATTTCCTTAAGTTCAATTGCCTGGACCACACAGATAAGCCAAAACAAATTATTTGGCATAAAAATCATAATAAAGGGGCTTTAATCAAAAGTATGTGGAGTTATACAAACACATTGTGCAATAATATGGGTACAATTTTAGAAAACTTCATTTAGAAGCAAATAAATGCACGGAAGTACATAAGTAATCTAAAAATTATATAAAAGCAAAACATTTTAGAATTATATTTTATTTTCTCCAAATGATTAGTAAAGCATGCACATGCACAAACTCGCACACACACATACACACACACGATGGCCTACAGGCCCTGAAAACCTCTCCTTGCCCTCATATAAATGACATTTTGCTTGTCATTTTTATTTTTTAATGGTTATTAAGTTCCATGTAATATTTGCCAGTTTTCTGCTACCCCTTAGTCCCCTGCTGCAGAAGATCTAATCTGTTCAAAGGAAGATAATTGCAGAGTTGTTGAGACAGAAAAGAAATCGCTGCATCTTACCGCTGTTGTGCGCCTCCAGCTGTGAGGCAGAGTTGACAGCAACCTTGCATAGAGAACAGTAAAGAAGCCGTTTTGCCTTTTCTTCCTCAGTCTCTGTGGAAGAACATGAGCTATTGCCAGTGGGTGTTGTGGGGCTTTTTTCCACCTTAGAGGTGATCTCAGTTGTCATAACGCTGCTTTTGCAGATTTCCTCACTTGTCGTCGTGGATAATGCTGGTGTCCCGGCGGTGCTGTCTGCATTCACAATAACATGGGGGGGGGGGGCAGTGGTATTATCTTTCTCTATTAGAAATAGATCGCTAATGTCACATTCCATCAGTAACAATAAGACAAATTAGCAATTGCTTATCAACTGTGTATAATCACTTCATGAGGATATCTGCATAGATAACCCCATTAAATTTTATGTTCTGAAATAAAATATTCAAATGATTCTTCAAAATACATGCAAATACAATTTTAAAATATTTTATGGGGTAAATCAGCATACAACAAATTTCTCTTAACATGTTGTCTCAGAAAAAATAATATTTATAATGTATTTTACTCTGTATATAAGTATTTCTACATAATGGTTTTAAAAAGTTAAGATCGAAGATAAAATAGTTTTCTTTTTTCTTACACGCATCTTTCTATTTTCCTTTTATATTTTTCTTTGATAAGGAAAATAGATACAGAGCTTTTAGGAAAAAAGTATAAAACCCAACGTTATAATTACTTTGTCCAGATCAGCATTTGAGAAAGCCATTGCTCTATTAAGAAACAGTTGCACTGCAATGCCCATTACAAAAATGATCAATACCAAAAAGAGAGGAACCGTGGTCTGCATAGTATTCAATTCATGCTCTCTATCAGAAGCCTGTGTGCCAGAAGTTTGTGGCAGAAGTGCCGGAACAGCCATAGGCACTATTCACAAGTAATTCGCAGACTAGCCAAACCGTGCTAATGTCACCTGAAGAATATAACGACCAGGAAAGTGTTGATGCACTGTAACCCAACCACCCTTTTGGCTCTAGCGTCTGATACCAAATCTGGAGAGATCAACTTTCAAAGCAAAAACTACCTTGTCCTAACTTCACTGGGTACACTTAGCTGTCTTCCCACATATGCCAGTCACTAGGATTTTAGCAATGTTCGCCATATCCAATAGACAGTTGCCATTTACTTCTAAATCCATTTCCTATTTACTCCTTCTGCCTGTCAGCTGGTTCTGAATTTCTCTTCCCATGTATCTCCAGGCTGCCTTTCCAGCTACGGCTGCTCTTGGAACTACTATTCCACATCATTCATAGGATGCCGTGGTCAGTTTTTAGCCACACTGAAAAGTTCATGACAAATGGATTGGGCTCTGGGTACAACGGCCAGTGGTTTGCTGGCAACGATGTCTTCTCTGCATAAATATTTATCATTTATTAGCTCATATTATCAAGAGTTGGCTGCCGTACAGGATGTTCCCTTTGTTCCAGGTGTATGAGTGAGACTGTGAGATGAAGTTGCTTATTTCTACTTTCCTAAATAAATCAGAAACACTAATATATGGAGAAATGGGCTCTTGTTAAGGGCTGTTCTATAAAAGGATTCGTCTGGATCCTGTTTCCTTTGCCTGACATTTCACACAGTTTTAATCACTTACTTAGCTTTGGTGGTTCCAATCAATAAATAGGTCTCTTTCTATGGAATGGGAAATGTTTACCAACCAAACATGTTTTTAAAATATCATACTACAAACCAATGCCTCATACAAAAAGAAAAATAAATAAAATTGACTTTTCTCATTGGAATACAAGCTATGATAGACAACTGCTGTGAGTGTTTACACTTTTAAATATTTATTACAGTAAAAGACCCACTGCCATTAATCCCTCTCGAAGTACTTTGCCACAATTGACCACACTTAATCACACTTATCCCATCAGTCTTGTCACTTTCTCAAACAGTTCTGAAAGTTTCCTTTTACAAGTGCCTTTATTTACATGGTTGTAGCTATCTCAATGTCCTGGGTTAATTAAAAACATTCAACTTTTAAGGTCATTTTAACTTTAGGAAAGAGCCGTAAACGGCACAGTGTCAGATTCAATGAATAGTGTGGAGAAGGACACACTATAATGTTTTCACAAGCCTGCCTTTCCACTGGAAGTCACTCCAAGCACCATTCATCATAATTTGATCATTTGAGTAAAGACACTCATGAAAGAAAACTTCCAGAACTGCTTCAAATTATCAAGAATGATGGGATAAGTGTGAATTGAGGGGGAGTATTTTGAGAAGGACTAATAGCAATGAGTTTCACTGTAATACATTTTGAAAGAATTTAAACAGCCACCATGTTTTGATCACCTCTTGTACATTTGTTCCACTGGACATTGATTGTTTTGTTTTGGGTTTTGGGGGGGTTTTTTGGGTACTGGGGATCGAACTCGGGTCCTTGCGCTTGTGCAGCAGGCAGCGAAACCACTGAGCTAAATCCTCAGCCCTTTTTTTGTTTGTTTGTTTTGTTTTCCACTGAACATTGAGAGGTCTACTATCTGACAAAGTTTTGCTTGCCTGGTAAGATTCCATTATTAAAGTACCGTGTAATAGACTGAAAATACCTCTGAGGATCTCAAGATGGCACACAACATGACAATTTTAGATGGTCCTGAGACTGTTCATTGTCCTCAATAAATAAGAAAGGCCTGTTGGAAAGCATGTTTATATGTGCTTGTGAATAAAGAGTTGCTAGTTTTCTCAGTGGCTTATACACTTAAAAATAATTTTATATATTTAAATTTTATTTAATCTTTTGCACAAAGCTATGAAAATCAGCGAATTTCTGCAGTGAAGGAAATTTCCCAAGAAGACATAGGTAGGATATAATCAGCCAGGGCAAACTATTTCATGAAATGAGCAAATCGGGGATTTCCCTTCCCTCCCCTCCCCTCCCTTCCCTCTCCTTTTCTCTCTTCTCACCTCCCCCCTCCTCTCCCCTCTTCTTTTCTTCTCTTCTCTGTGTACTGGCAATTGAACCCAGCATTTTACCACTGGGCTACGTCCCGGCCCATGTCCCGGCCCTTTAAATTTTTTATTGTGAGACAGGGTTTTTCTAAGTCATTAAAATGTCCAGGTTGGATTTCAATTTATGATTCTCCTGCCTCAGCCTCCCAGAGTGCTGAGGTTATAGGTGTGCACTACCACGCCCAGTTTTAAATCTGGTTTTTTGAAAAAAAAAAAATGTTGTGAATGATAGTCTCAGCCATGACTGTGATTGTCTAGAATAAGATCACAAACAACAACAACAAAAAAGCCTTATTATCAGCTCTTATACACTCTTATTATCAGCTCATTCTATGGGGAGTGACAAAAATAAACATACACTTTATCTTAAACTCACTGTGTTCACACAATGAAACCAGGTTGGAATTTATTTCATTGAAATCTACCATGGCACAGATTTCCCTAGTAATAAGCTACTTCTGATAACTTTGTTTTGCATTGACATGTCTTCATTGGAAAATGGTACATAGTATAGACATTATTAATCCTAAAGTAACTTCCTCATCACAGTGAAATTTGTTAATAAAAGTATAGAATGAACAAAACTGTGGATGTTTCAATCTTTGTGACAGCTACATTAGTGTTTCACCTGATACCAGAGGATAACACACATTTACACCAAAGACACCACAAGATAGACACCAGATTTTCTCTGCCTAGGGCCTAGTGAAATATTAAGATCTCTTAGGCAAGTTTGTTTCTTAAAACAGACTTAGAGGAATTAATATAAATAACAGTGCTTAACTTTCCACACTTATTTTGTGACGTCTTTTGATCACACAGCGGAGCACAGATCTATTATTTTCTAAGTATTCAGGTAATTTAAAAGAAATGAAAAGGTATATTTTTCATTTTAAATTTAATATATAAAACTTGCCTCCATAAAGGTAGTATTATTATTTATTTATAACAAGACATGGATTTTCATCTTTGTTTTATCTGTGATAAAGGGGCCTTTTTAGGCTCCAATCCATGCAATTAAGAATGAAAAAGGGGAAGTCACAACAGACCCAGTAGAAATCCAGAGGATCTTCAATACCTTCTTTGAGAACCTGTACTCTAATGAAATGGAAAACAGAGAAGGAATGGACAGATTCCCAGATACATACAAATTGCCAAATTTAAATGAAGAAGATATAGAAATTCTAAACACCTCAATAACAATGAGTGAAATTGAAAATGTAATAAAAAATTTACCAACAAAGAAAAGCCCAGGTCCTGATGGCTTCACTGCTGAATTCTACA